ATGGTTGTAACAAAAAAGAGCCATTTATTATCATAAAAGGAGAGAAAAAAATTTATGTACATGGTTCAAAGAATCGAAATAAAGTTTTCCTAAGGGATTCATGATTGTTGCTGGTCTTTCTTATAATGGCAAATTAAAAATGAAGAGAGTGCAAAAAAAGTTAGATTAACTCCAAATACTATCGGGAACATATTTTATCGCCAATTTTTCTGAATAAAATACCATCGCTTTACCCACAGTGCCATCCATCTGTGAGACTCCATCAGGACAAAGCTAGCAGTCACACATCAAAATCCACTGTAAATTTCCTAAACGAAATGGAACAAAGAACTGGTATCAAGGCGATACCCTTCACTGATATCCCTACTAAATCTCCCGATGTGTCACCTATGGATTTTTGTGCTTTCGGTCTTTTAAAAAGTGCATTATCCAAACGTTGTCCCAAAATCCTAACAGGACACTGTAAAGCTGTTTGGGAGGAATGGGATAGAATATCTCTTCTGCCAGTTCAAAAGGCATTATTATCCTGGAAATTGCGGTGTCGAAAGATATTTCAGAATAAGGTATGTCAAATAGAACATTTAAAACATAAGAATTTTATGTAATTTAGTTTTTGAATACAATATACTTCGTCTAAAAAATGTGTGAACAGCCTCTGTATACCTTCCAAAAATTACTATTTCGTGTTTAACTTGCGACACGTTTAAATGATGTTCCCCTAAATACACATAATTCTGCATGAAATGTCATGAAAAATACTTTTCAAATTCTTTCTTATTTAACTTTGAAATATCTTATTTTGCAAGTTTAAAAATTCAATGTTTTCTAAATAAATAAGAAAACTAGCAAGCAAAAGTTAATAGATTACAAGAGTTGTTATCAAAAATGTAAGAAGAATTATATCTTATCAAGAAAAGTGAGTTATTGGGAAAAATTCGTATATAAATATAGATTAAAATGAGTATACCTACTATTTCATTAAATTATTATGTTTTATAAAATAGAATTCAAAATTTATGAAAACCATCAAAAGTTTAATTAAATTCAAAATCGTTGCTGTCAATGTAATAGAACGCAAAACATAATTTAAAGCAAATCCCTATAAATAAATGCTTGAGGCATTTGATATTTATTACATATTTAATCATGTTTTTGAAATTTTTTAAACAACGAAGTTTTACTGTACCATTAAAAAGAGCCTTTATACTAGTTAGAGCTTGGAATATTTTTCTGCTCTTAATTTTATGAAAAGAATGTATTTTTTTAATCTCGATTAGAGAATAAAACAGCTTAATATTGCCGAGAGCTCAGACTCGTAATTAGCTCAACCTAATCTTCAGATTTACCTTTAGGTTGAATAATATGTTATATAAAATTACAAGGTTATCATAAATTAAGGAAAAATCACGATTACTGAAAACGTTACATGTAGAATTTAATCAACCTTACCCACAATATACAACACATAGTAAGGTATCAAATAACATAAAAAAATTACCAGACAAAAATGGTAGTAAAGAAATTAGCACATGTATAAAATGAACAAATCGAAGGTGTCAGTTTGGTATAGGAAAAGTACCTTCAATATGAAATATGATCTCCTCTAGAAGCAATACAGCGATGCATGATGCTTTCAATTATGCGGTCTATCAGTTCCATAGGAAGCGAGAGCCATTGCTCTTGCAAAGCATTTGCAAGCGTGAAGGAGGTTTGAGAGGTCGGGTTGAGAGCAGCTAGACGTTTCCCTAAAGCATCCCAAACGTGCTCGATAGGATTCAAATCCGGGGATCGAGCTGGTCACTCCATGCGCATATTTGTTTCCTGTTGAAGATGTTGTGTAGAGAATTTGTCTGATAGCGTTATAAAAACTATGTGAATGATTTTCTGATTAATGGAAATTTTAATTTTATTTGATGCTGAATTATTTATTTTAAGGCTTTAATTTTGGGGAAAAACAGATGCTTCTGGGAATATTATTTAGTTTAAAAGAATATTATTTATTTTCCTCTATTTGCAAATCTTGTACAAACTTTGATTCATTGTGAAAGAAGCAGGGAAAGGGAGGCAATTTTTGCCAAGTCATGATTTCGCGCGCTTTGTCCTTTAGAATGTTCTAGAAGGATTTTCATTGTTAGTTGCCCTTAAGAGAGGAAGTACGTGACAAAAAGGTCAAAGGTTGCTACTTGTCTTTCAATGTAAGTCATTCAGGTTTTTGGCGATTGAGGGTCCGGTTGTTGGCTAAGTGAAGAAGGGCGCGCATGCGCGATCACCCTTATTTCCGCATTCTGGAGTTGAAAACGCAAATTTTGCCAAAATTAAGGGGGCGATAAGTGAAGCCATAGTGGGAGCCCGCGTTTTGTGAAGGAGACGAAGGAAATTCGAGTTGGATTCACTCACTTACTGACTGGCGTGTGGAACTTACTTGGGACGTTACTCGTGAAGCTTGCTCTTGGGATGAGTAAGAACAGGCGAGCCGTAATTGCCTAGAAAAAACGTTTCAGGCCGGAAGCTGCAAACACGCTCCCTTGCCGCGTTCTGGTAAAGAGGCGAAATTTGAACGAGTTACCTGCGTGTTAACTTAGGACTTTCAGGACCAAGCGGATAGCCGTCCTGGGCAGCAGTGCTCCTGTTTCTGTTTTATAGAGGTAAAATTAGTTTCGTCACCATGAAAACCAGTTACCTGCGTGTTGACTTTAGACTTTCAAGACCAAGCGGATAGCCGTCCTGGGCAGCAGTGCTCCTGTTTCTGTTCTACAGTGGTAAAATACCGTCGACAGTATGAGAACCAGTGTAAAGATGAGCCCGGCCGACGTCAACGCTTATTAAGATACGAGTCCTCCACTTCAAGATGTCCAACCAAGTTAAGTGCTATTTTTTTTTTTTTTTTTTTTTTTTTTTTTTTGTGTGTGTGTGTTTGAACTTTGAGTGGGTTTTCAATAATTTTTCTTGGAATGTAAAAACAGCGTCGACTCTTAAATTAATTCTCAGGCTTTAAATTGTTTCCCTTTCCCCTTTTAAATTACCAGACAAACCTTAAGTTTTTTTTTAATATGAATTTAAATAAAAAAAAGGGTAAATGACAAATTGATGACTTCTCCTTAGACTCTCAGATGAGGTTAAGATTTTTTTATTGTGATGTAATTCAACAAACTGATATTTAATCTGGAAACCTATTACAGTATGTTTTCTTTATATATTTAATATGTTTTTCCTATATATCTTATATATGTTTTTCTTATGTTTTCGATCCTCTCACGGCGCGGTCCCGGGATGCATTTTTTCATAACGCAAAATGCTTTACCGTTTCACTATACGATCACTAAAAGTTTGGGTAATTAGCAAAAATTCTTAAGAGTTTAGTTTCCTCCCTAAGAGGAAGTAGAAACCTTTCACGGCAAGTAGGTTCATATTTAACATTTAACATATAGGAGTTTCTTATTTAACAATGGTACCTTGAAGTAAAGCTATTTAACATTGGTGCCGAAATTTCTATATAACAAAGATAATCATTTACGATGCGAGCCCTGTGTCGTCTTGCGTTGTCGTCCTGTAACAGGAAAGCATCACCTATTGCCCCGGAATATGGGCGCACATAAACATCAAGGATGTCATCTCTATAAATCTGAGCATTCACGGTTCTCCTTGGAAAGACATGGAGGTCTGTACGTCCACCCAAAGAGATGCCACCTCAAACACAGACACTGCCCTTTCTGTATGCATCTCTTTCACGGATGTTTGACGGATGATAACGGGTTCTAGGTTCTCTCCATATCAAATAACGCGTACTATCGCTTTCTAGACTAAACCTGGACTCATCCGTAAAGCGAACCGCCCTCCATTGATCAGGCGTCCAGTGAGCATGTTGTCGTGCCCACTGAAAACGGTCTCTTCTATGGCGTGACGTGAGCGGCACACAAATGGCTGGTCGCCTCGCATACAGACCACCTTCGTGAAGCCTTCTACGCACAGTTGACGTTGACACGAACCTTCCGATGTCTGCAGCAAGAGAGGATCTAAGATCGGAGTAGCGGTTCTATTCCTGAGTGCACATAATGTCAAATATCGGTCATCGGCGCTTGTAGCAGTTGGCCGTCCTTGGCTGAACCTCTTAGATGCCGAATCTGTGGTTTGAAATCACTTCCAAAGTCTATGAACCACAGAAGGACTCACATTTAGCCATCTGGCCACTTTTGTTTGACTTTGTCCTGCCTCTAGTCTCCCTATGGCTCTCCATCGCAGTTCTGCAGGCAAATGATGGCTGGAGGTTACGAATTGGCTATCTCAGATTTCTGATGTCACTGTCACAGTGAAATATGTAGGCTTGCTCTGAAACATGGACTTTTATGCTCCTCGCAGATGACGTATTCCGAAAGCAGCGCCACTAATTTGCATATCGCAGTTTTACTCAGCTACTCTTACTTGGCAACATATTCAAATTTTACACAGTTTGGCTTATTTTTGAGGGAGTTATCGCTATTTTTTTATTTTTCCTTAATTTATGATAACCAGTGTATTTTCTTGCTGTTTTACTAAGAGCTTCTTAAGCGGGTTAAGCACCTAAGTAAGAAGCTCATTTGTTATGCAGATTATTATATATTGTTAACAAAAAGCAGTTATTGATTCTGGAGCAAGATCTGTCTAAATTACTATACATATCATACAGACTTTTTAAACTTATCTGACAACTAAGCGCATTTTATTCTGCGAGTATCAGTTTAGCTTACCATTATTCTTTAGCTTGTTTATCCTACTTTGGGTTATAAATGGAATGAGTTGTTATGTTTGGTGAGACATTTTTATAAAAATAATAAATCTCTCAAGATGTAGTGATTATATCCTAACAATCGTATTAACAAAATTTTAGCTAGAAAAGTGAACATCAGATCGAGAATATGTGTTTCGGGTTCAATCCTAGAAGGTGTGATTTCTGATGGCACTTGTTGCCAGTACTGCTCCTGCAGAAGTACATTGACCGATACTTTTTCCTTCTATTTCAGGAGAACTGCTGACGTAAGATCTGTTGGGTATTCTGAATTATTCAGCCTCTCCAGAGAAGACGTTTTGTCAGCCATGAAAGACTATCCAGAAGCTGAGGTATTTATTATATCATCATAAGAAACTTATGTATGATTACTCGCTATTACGTTTCAGGAATAGCGAAAAATTATGTAGTAGCTATTTACTTTTAACTGAAGGCTATTTTCTTAATTTTAGATGAACGAATGCTTTGATGATGAGCAATGACTTTTACTGAGTTCCAGATTGGTTGTTTCATGTAATATTTACAGTAGTAAAATGTCTAGAGTTTTCCCAACCGTTCATTTCAATCAATCTAGAAGTTTCAGAGCACTCTATGAGTTATCAAGTTCGGATATATTTGGTCAAATTTGTTACCAAATTCCAAAGTTTACTAAATTCGATGCATTTATTGTTACAAGACTTCTTTACAAGTTACAAAAGAATATATATGTTACGGTGAAACACCGAAATCTGGAGAATGTCGACTTTCACCGGTGAATGTCAACTTTCACATAGTTTCTTGGTGTATGTCCGAAATATTTTCCAAATATTCTTATTTCTGACTTACACCGGTCAATGTCGACATTCACCATGTACTAATGGTGAATGTTAAACATATAAAAATATTATATTTCCTTCTCCGTAATTCATTCGCCGAAAAACGCACTTGAGACTCAGAATAAGAACTTAAGAATATAAGAACTTAAAACACACAGTACATTCAAAATGAGAAAGGAAAATAATAGAAGTTATAAACTTACCAAATTATGTGATTCAAATCTTATTTATTGCAACAACTTAAACTATTATGACACTTTGAATTGCACAAGAGGCCCTTGCTTTTATAACTGCATTTATTTGTGGAACACTTCCTTTTGGAATGGCAGCGTGTACATATACACTGGTGTGCAAAAATTAAGAACGAAGTCAAAAAATTAGCATATCAGCTGAACGAAGAGGCAGAGCGGACAGAAAGACCAATCAGGAGATTAAGTAAGGTGATGTACGGTAGCACATGCGCAGATATGCAGGTAGACGTAATGGGGGAGTGTCTGAGTAGTATAAAGCATGTTGTCGGTGTAAGATCAGTATTTCTGGCAAAGAGATTGCACGCCGTATAGCAGTTAACATCACACCGACTTGCTACCTCAGCGAGAAATGGCGAATAATCAATCTGTTAGACGACATGTGGATTCTTTTACCCGAGGTCGAATCATTGGGAAGTTGGAGGAAGGCCGCAGTGTGACAAGTGTGGCTGCAGAGTTCGGAATTGCTCACAGCATCGTTTCACGACTTTGGAGACAATTTCAAACTACAGGAACAGCTATCCGGGAGTTTAGTAGTGGTCGTCCACGAGGAACCACACCCGCAGATGACCGGTATATTGCCTTACAGGCCAGAAGAAACAGGCACCAGACAGCGGGAGAAATCGCTAGACACACGACACAGGCGACTGGACGACCGATATCGCGTTTTACCGTGGCCAGAAGCCTGCACGGTGGTGGTCTGTTTGCACGACGCCCTGTACGGTGTGTGTACCTCTAACGCCTGCCCATCGGAGAAGGCGTTCTCTGTGGTGCCGGGAAACACCGGAATTGGAGAGACAATGAATGGGGACGAGTACTCTTTACACAGATGAGAGCAGATTCAGTCTGAGTAGCGATTCTCATCGCATACTCATCTGGAGAGAGAGGGGAAGCCGCAATCATCCCTCGAACATCATTAAAAGGGACAGGTATGGAGGTGGCGGTGTTCTCGTTTGGGGAGGCATCATGCTTGGTAGTCGTACAGACCTTCACATCTTCGACGCAGGTTCAGTCAACGGGACCCGTTATTGTAACGAGATTCTTCTTCCATATGTGCGTCTTTTTAGAGGCGCTATGGGTCCGCAGTTCCTTTTCATGGACGACAATGCACCATGTCATCGCACAGTAGCTGCCGAACAGCTCTTAGAGAGTGAGGATATTGAACGTATGGATTGGCCGGCACGATCTCCGGATCTCAATCCCATCGAGCATGTATGGGATTTTCTAGGCAGACGCTTGGCAGCTCGTACCTTACCACCAGTAACGATTCCGGAGCTTCGATTGGTGCGCTGCAAGACGAATGGGCAGCAATGCCTCAACAACTCATTGACACCCTCATTCTCAGCATGGGCAGACGCTGTGAAACCTGCCTAGCAGTCAGGGGAGAGATCATATTCCCCTATTAAAGACCGGATGTTTCTTGCTGGACACCCATCACAGGGATGTTTCGGCCTTCAGTCGCATTGCGCTCCATGCTACGTTTTCAATAAAGCTTCTTTTTATCCCTCTGATTTCTCTTTTAGTAAGTGTTGCTTACATTACTCATGTCCTTACGTATTGGGGATCTTACGGTATTAAATGTGTTGATTTGGAAAGCTTTTGTACAAAGTTATATTGAAAAAACCGTCTCATCCTTAATTTTTGCACACCAGTGTACTCCTCTCTTTTCGACCTACACCAGAGCATATCTGTGATTGTCGACATACTCCGGTCAGGGTCCGAATGTACAAGAATGTAAAGAAATATTCGATCTTTCACTGAATGTTGACATTCTCTGGTGAAAGTCGACATTCTGCAATTTCGGTCTTTCACGGTAACATATACACTGCGCAAAAAATTGGACAGTTCTTTATCTCAGGTTCTACAGGGCTGATTGACAAAATTGAAATTGCATTTTTCATGTCTCGAAAGCGCGATTTAGGAATATATGTTACATTTATATATAGCATTGTTCTAACATAGGTGTTTTGACACAAAATCGGACTTTTTCTGAAATAACATACCACTTTTTTTTTTTCCATATTTCGATTCTACGACTTAAATTACGCCAAACTACCAACTTATGTAAAACCGCACGGGTCGTTTTTAAAACATTAGCTCTCAAAATTTTATCTCCTCAATATTAATTGAGTTTGGAATATACTAATTAATCTCTCTTTTTTTATTAAACTTATTTGATTCTTCTTTCACATTTCGAAATTCAGGTTTATTACAAATAAAATTCACCCATTTTAATGATATATTTTTTAAATTTGTATTTTTAAATAATTTTTAATTTTTTTTAAAAATTTGAATTTATAACCTATAAAATTTTTACCATCATCTTTAAATAGATGTCTAAGCATACCTGCAAAAAATTAGAATTTTGTTATTCAAAACTTCCGAAGATATACGTGAATTCATATATTGGCGCGTTTTGAAATTTGACATATTTCTTGAAAGCGATAAAACATCAAATGTGGTTTAGAGACTTTGTTAAAATTATTTGAAAGTAGAAACGTTGTGCTTTTTTTCCGCTCATGCACAATGTAAAAAGGTAAGAACGAGGTGCCTTTTTTTCCACTCCGGCATAATGGAGGGGAAAGGGAAATTGGTTGCCATATATTAAGAAGTTCGCCAAGTGAATTATTCTTGGCGGAAACTGAAACAAATTGCGCCAAGACAATTTTTTTAATTTCTCCGTCAATTTCGCACCAAATTTTACAAAATTTAATATCTAGGCATAATTTGAGTCGTAAAATCGAAATATGGAAAAAACACTGGTATGTTATTTCAGAAAAAGTCCGATTTTGTGTCAAAATACCTATGTTAGAGCAATGCTACATTTAAATCTAATATATATTCTAAGTCGCGCTTTCGAGACATGAAAAAACGCAATTTGAATTTTGTCACTTGGTCCAGTAGAACGGGAGATATAGAACTGTCCCATTTTTTTTTCGCAGTGTACATAAAATTCGGTTCGAATCCCTGAGAAAGCTTGAACTTTTTTAAATGTATAGTGTCTGTGCAGCATGGAGGCAGTCAAAATATACGGCGAGTCAAAAGTTCTCTCGAGTGGTTTGGTGGTAAGGAAAGAGAGATAGAAGACCCTCGGACTCACCCATAGGGTGCTCTTCTTCAGAACTGGGGCGGAATTGGGCAATTATTATTATCACAATTATGTTTCTCCTGGCTCAAGCCAATGACAGATGCAGTCTTGTGTGCCTTGCTAACATAAAATTCATGAGCTATTGTTGATAGGTCAACCAAGTGAGATTGGCTATAATAACAACAACATACATAAATTAGAAATAAAAAAATATTTACCCAGTTCGAAATAATACATCAATAGAAAATCGATTTATAACATTCCAAATGCACTAATTTATATCCATCCAAAATCCAAAGGAAGAGTAAACGTAAAAAAAACGAATATGTAAGATAAAATTCTAACTTGAATTCGTAATAGCCTCTTAAGCCTTCTTGTTAGTTCAATTGCTCCTCTATCACAAAAATAGTAATATGCTGATAAAAAATATTTCTGAATTGCGACATTTCAGCATTAACCCCTCCTATAACTCTGAACTGAAATTGAAGTCTTTTAGCCAATAGCAAAGAAAAATTTGCAAACCAAAGTTTTAAACAACCAATAAAAACGAAGCAGCAGCATAACTTCCTATTCTTAACCTAGTACCAATATCGTGATCGTCGTCGCGAATTATGCTTCTTTGCGCACCTTACGAGTCATCTCCTGCTCTCTCAGTTCATTAATAGTGAAATCTGTGCATCTATTGCTTTACTGTATGTTATTCTAAAAATTATGCCTAAAATAGTGTTACGAAATGTACAGGCGCCGTAAGATGGCTTGCCCGCAAAGTAGTTTTAGGGTTGCCATACCTTGATACGTTCATAAATAATTATCTCTCTAAGATTTTACTGATGGGTCGGTAATTTGAGGGGTTGTGATTCAGGTTATCAGGCTATCACGGTGGAGACAGCTTCCTGCAAAGCACCCGACTCTGCTTTCCGGAGTACAGCTCCCGACACTGCTTGGTCGTTCTGGGAACTCCACGTACTCTCGAGACTCTCCACGCTACAACTCGCGATGCAGTCAACGACACACGAGCACAGCTCCCGACTCTTCGGTTCAGTCGTTCCCGGAGCTCAACATGCTCTCTCACTAACCGCGATACACTAACCGCGATACACTAACAGACTCCTTCGATGCACTCGACGACCCACTCGGCACTCGCTGCCCGGCTGTCAACTCGATCGACTCCGCAGGGATTG